TGCCTTAGCGTTTGTTAAAAATTAAATTGCCAGATTATTTCGGATTCAATTTACGTATTATTTCATATTACTTTCAGAAATGCGCTTTCATTACTGTATCCTCCAACAGTTTTTCTACTAACAAAACAGAGATCACGGTAATAAATCTGAATTTCAAATTTAATGAAAGGCTTTTAATTCACTGTTTCAGAATCTGAAAGAGGCAATAGCGACTAAAATCGTGCAGCATCAGAAAAAGGTGTCTGAATTCCGAACTGTTCATGGGAAGAACGTTATTGGGCAGATCACCGTAGACATGGTAGAAAGTTAAAGAGGCTAAGTTTTTTGGTGAAGTTGCCATGCGTTTGATAGATATACGGTGGAATGCGTTCCATGAAGGGCCTAGTTTGCGAGACGTCATTGTTGGACCCGATAGAAGGCATTCGTTTTAGGGGATACAGCATCCCAGAATGTCGAACACATCTGCCGAAAACGATCGGCTCTGAGCCAGCACCGGAAGGTATCTTCTGGCTGTTGTGCACCGGAGACATTCCTACGTCAAAACAGGTTTACCTTCATGTCTTGCTCGTTCACAGCTGCTGTGACCGCTATTCATAGGTAGCTGCTGTCACGGATGAGTGGAACAACCGAGCCGTCATTCCAGAGCACGTCGTCAGTCTCATCCAAAACTTTCCTCGTCATCTGCATCCGATGGCGCAGCTGGTTTCCGCCGTTAGTGCGCTCTCATCTGAAAGCAAATTTTCCAAAGCTTATAACGCTGTTATTAAAAAGTCCTTTTATTGGGAAGTACGTCATTTCGATATTGAGCATTGATTAGCGAAGCCTGACCCGTTGTTTGTTTTCAGTATATTTATGAAGATTCCATGGATCTTTTGGCTAAGCTGCCGACCATTGCTGCGCTAATTTATCAGAACACGTTCAAAAACAACTCCACTGTAGCAGCTGTCGATCCCAAGCTCGACTGGGCCGGCAATTTGACCCGAATGTTGGGGTACGAAAGCAACGAGTTCAGTGATTTGATGCGACTTTACCTTTGCATTCACAGGTGATTACGGATTTCGTGTAATGTCTATCTGTCGTTTATTTTCTGTCCGATTGAGTGTTTCTTCGTTATATTCGATTTCTTCAGTTATACATTTCTTTAAAATGTGAACATATAATTACGAAGGATGAGTGTAAATTATCGTCATTATTTGTCATAATTATGGGTTGGGACTTTTAGTCAACTGGTACGTTAAACTTTTATTAAAAGTTATGTTTCTATTATAATCGTTGGTTTCAACTAAGAAGAGGCAGTTGATAAAAATTAGATTTTATAAATAATATTAATCAACATAATATTCTAGTATGTTATGAAATGACATCGCCTAAAATTTTTTATTAACATTGTCATGTGATGTTTCGATTCAAAGCTTGGTGAGTCCTCAGAGTTAAAATTTTATTCTGGATGCGAAG